AATGCAATACATGTTAGTTTTTAAATTCACATCTCTTTGGACTCTTTGTATCTATTTGGTAACAGAAATGGTTTGCAACTAGATCCCAAACCATGATCAATATAAAAAAATGCATAAATACAGAATACCTACTATTCTATACTAATATACTATTCTATACTAATTAATGTTCTAAACCACTAAAGCATGTGACACCAAAGAACCTTAACTTTATACAGACTAATTCCAGAAGCAGTTCAGATCACCCTCACCATTATCAGAGCTATAAGGCCAGGTAATGTGTCTACTGAGGGGTTAGCTGAGGTTTCTCTTCAATGCACATCTTAAATTCTTTTACTGCTGTTGCTTAACAGAACTTTTACAGGTAGTAAATACTCACAAAGTCAAATTTTTAAAAAAAAAACTGAAAGACTAAGTTGTGTCTCTTTTCATGCCAAGGGTATATTTTTCTTTACAACAAGCCTAGAAAATACAGTACTATTTACTGATGGTTTTGTTTCAAGTAGATGGAAGGTAAAAATAAATCTCTACTAATTCTATAGAAAATTTAGTTCTTTCACATTTTCATTTTCTAAACTCTTTAGAAAAAAAGCATATTTTCAGACAAAAGCACCAATTAAGTGTGATTAACTCCAGCTGATTTAAAGACTAAGTGTATTACAAACAGACTAAAATACCCTTCTGATTCAGAATAGCAGTAAAAACTGCAGCAACACACATACAAATACAAAACACAGAATGCATAAAAACAGCATTACTCAGAAAAACACTGTATTTAGACTACTGCAATAAAAAAGGAAGTTCATACATGACTCTAAAAATAATTGTGAAAACATAAATATAAGGTTGCAAAAACTAAGAAACTTAAAAGGTACTCCTCCCACCAACATCTACTCAGTCAAAACAGGTTTAAAATAGGCTCAGGTACTGCACCTGCCTCTGTGACCCTTCTCATTTTCTGTTGTTCAAGGTCATGCCTTCCTATTTTTAAAACAAACTTCTCTCCATACTCTGCCACAAGCATCCACACCTACAGCAGCAACAAATTGGTGTGCAAGTAAAGGAAAGCAGATTTTCATCCAGTTCTTCCGAGGTAAAGCCCTCTTCAGCACCACAAACAGCATATAAGTAAAATAAATAAATTCCATATTGCTCTTATATAACTTGCATTTATGCCCTGAATACAAAATTTCAGACTGCAATCCCTTTTGCTTGCTCTAATACAGGTTCTGATGATGCCAGTTTAAAATAAAACAAACACAGACCTAATTTAAATGCTACCATATACTACATTATTATGATTCTACTGCCTCATCCCCCCACCATGAGTTGCATTTTTATGGTTTTTGAAACCTTCATTAAAAAAATGACAATACCCCAAATTCCTGACAAACGCATAAATCTTGTATCCTTGTATTATTTGCCTTTAAAGTTTAACCTACTCAGCACTGTACAATAAAATGTGAGTATGTAATTAGTAAGCAGCATTAGAAATATTAAGGTGATGCTTACATCAACAGGAAGTTACTTTAAAATCCACTAGAAATACACTATAGCTAAAGAAAATAAACATTAAACATGATCATAGCCATTAAGAGAATAATTCTTCCGTCTATACTTTAGGAACAGTTCTGTTAGTTGAAAGGGCTAAAACTGGGCATAGAAGTACAGACAGTGCTGTTACAGGCACTAAAAGAAGGATATGGTTAAAATTGATGAGATGTTAACATGAGCCATCTCCTTTATCTGAAATAAGCATGATAATGATAGATATTTTTCTGTTCTGGTAAGTTTGACATATCATTCTAGAAAAATACTGTACAGCATTGTGTAACAGTAATGTCTGTCAAAATGCAACATAAGGAGATTTTTGTTATCTTGCTGTCTACTCAAAAAAAAAAACCACCTTATAATTCTTGGTAGGGGTTATACATGGGTGGTTGCCATGCAATTGAACCACTACTGCTAATGTCACCTCAGGCATTACTCTATTTTAAGTAATTAAATGGCTTTTTTCTCATAAACATGTATCTCTTCATTGTCTTACCAAAAAAGAGAAAATATTATAGGTAATAAAAATAACTACAAGATGAACCTTTAGGCCACATGAGGTGTTACCTTGCCTTTTGAGTCACAGAATCCAAACAGAACTCTCAAAGATTAGTCTCCTAGGAAGATTTAGGCTCTAATTAGCATAAATTTGCACAAGGCTATTCCCAGTTTGAATTCATCATTGAAGGGCTGAGGTTTTCCATACAAAAATGATGACCCTTACAAATTTTGTAACTAGGATTAGTCTATATTGTGTCAAGATCTGAAACATATGAGAAACTTCCTTTTCCCATGCTTTGAAAGATTTCACAGTTACTTGCATTTTTCTCAACAGGTTTCCCCACAATAATCTTTTTTTTGCCTCATCTCTTCTGCAAAAATCTTCTCTTTTCTTCTTACCATAAAGGTGAGAACAAAACAGAAAAAAATACAAGTGAAGTGGTTTTATTTTCAGTTCACTTTCAGAAATGACTGCTCCCCATAAAACATGAAGCATTTAGTTACTCCACTTAACTCCTCAGTTTTACTCCTACTGCCTTTGGCAACAAAGATCACCATGTATTAGATCAGGGTGGGACATCAATACGTGATACAATTCTCAGGTGCAGAGTGCTGTCTGCAAATTCCATTGCTGAAGATGTACAAAGAGACCCATCAAAGTTTTTAGTAAAGCACCTCCCTTCTCCAAAAGCCCCAAACAAATCCTTGCCAATATGTTTTAATACATATTAAATAAATACCACTTATCCTTTACATCGACAAGAAAAGTCTATGATAATTTTCATCTCTATCATAAATAACTACCCATGCTGGCCCATTCAAGTGGATCTGCTTCCTCCAGTCCTGTCGTTTATGGCTCACAATTGCCATGCAAAGTATGACAATTCAAGAATTTCCTTGACAAACACCTCAAAAAGCTCAGGATTTAGCACACATTTTCCCTCAAGATTTAGCACACCCTCCGCACCACTTCCCTCTACCACAGAAATTACCACATCCAAACAGACACATCCTCACCGGGACTCAGCTAGGGACACAGCAACAGGGACACACAGGGCTTTTTCCACAAGCCGTGGTTCTCACCTCTCCCACCGACTGCATGCTCCTGAGATCATATTTTTAATTTCTTTAAACTCCTATTTTCCCCTGATCATTTATTTCCGCAGGAGTATCTCCTACGATATTGCACAGCTGAGGTAGATGTCCGAGCCCAGCATCACTTGAGCTGCGAGCTAGTGCCACGCTCAAGGGCAGGATTTAGGATTTAAAACGGGGTAAAACACCACTTCGGGGGGAGCCAGAATGAGGAACGGGGTGTGGTGCTAAGAGACCCAAGTGTCCCGAGCCTCAGCACGGCACCAGGGAGCGGCGGGGGGAACAAGGGCAGTGCCACTCCCGCCCGGGCCCCCCAGGCACGCTCTGCCCGCGCCAGCCCCCACAGCACCCGGCGGGCCCGGGGCGGAGGGGCCCGGCCCGGCCGCACTCACCGCTCATGGTGCCCGCGGGGCTCCGTCCACCGGAGCCGCCGCTCTCCCGCACAGCCACGGCCGGGCCGGCAGCCACAGCCCGCCCCGGAACCCGCCCGGCGCCCCGGAAGGTAAACACGGCTCCGGGAGCGCCGCGGAGCGCTTCCCGGCCCGGGGCTCCTCAGCGGGGCCCCGCGCCCTCAGCGCGGCCCGGCCCCGGGGCTGCCGCGGCCCCTGCGCGTCCGGAGCCACCTGGGCACAGGGATCCTGCGGGGCAGGAACGCCACACCGGGAAAGGAAGGTGAGAAAAGTGGAGATAAAGCGTCCACATAAATTTTCCTCTGCTGCCGCATGTGCTGTGCAGGGTGAAAGCTCGGAAAGGGTCATTAAATAAAAACAAAAAACTAAGTGATGATAATAACTAATGTCATAAGGCCCTAGGCCTATTTGAGGGGTGCTGGCCCTGTGTGGCCAAAACCACCCGGAGCACCTAACTCCCAACTGGCCCCAAACTTTGTCAGCTTCCTAAAGATGCTGTAACTGATCAGTCCTAGATTTCGTGCAATGAAATACTTCAATTCGCCATTCATGCAGGAATCTGAAGGAGAATGTTAGCTACAAATAAAGACGATTGTTGTTGTGGTTGCTTGTGTGGTTGTTGCAATTTTCCAGGAATAAAATTCCTGTGGCCTAATATTGGGAAAGTAACATTAATACTTGGAAGGCAAGGTGATGGAAATATATTCCTAATTTTACGCCAAAGAGTAGTCTAGCATGACTAATCACCCATCCTTGTAAATATAACAAGAGTAATTAAAAAACATTTGTAAAAGAGAAATAAATCTCAGTCTGAAAAATACTTTGCACTGAAAGGAAAGCCTGTACCATCAGGAAATACATGGAATTGCAGTGAAGGTCAGGAGCTGGACTTCAATGACCCTTGTGGGTTCCCTCTGACCCAGGACATTCTGTGATTCCATGATCTGTGCTCTCCAGCACCACAACCTCCCTTAGGGTGACCCAGTGATACCTTCTGAACCCAGGGGCCTCCATACTATACAAGGTATTCATCTTTAGAACATTCCTGTTCCAAGTGTTGAAATTACTCTTTTCAAGACTGGGGATGTAGTATAGGTCTTCATTTCTGCTTCTTAGAACAGTCCTTGTGTACCATCAAGAAATTTTTGGCACAAGATCTGAGTCTAACATGAACGTATATATTTGGAAACATGTTTATTTTGTATATGTCTGCTGTAAGTAAGTACAATCTCTAAAGGCAGAAAAAGCTGTCACATGTAAGGACTTTCTGAAATTAAAAATGCCAATAACTAGTTGCATGACTGAGAATAATGTAGAAATACTTGACTAATGAAATACTAGAATTAGAAATAATATGACAATATTAATGCAAGTACAATGGGAGATCTCTAAGGATGATATACTACCTTCTCCACTGATTGCAAGTATTGAGGTTAACAGCGATACTGGAAAAACTCATTTATTATTACTCAGTACAAATACACTTCCCTCGCAGTCATCCAACACCCAGAACATAGTTGTAATAATCAAAAGATTTGGTGGTAACTAGAACAGTAGCTCGTTCTTCAGTAGCTGGTAATGGAAATGAAGTTTCACAGACAGTCTGAGGTTTTACCAAGCCACAGTCACTGCAAGTGCATTCTTCCACTGAATACATTAATGTTTCACTTGGAAGTGTGTGTCTAATTTCTTCCATATTCACACTGCTTTCAGTATGAGCCTTGGGAACAGTATTCAGCTCCACAGAGGAGTCTGTAAATATACAGAAGTTAATTTAATACATACATCATGCTGTACTAAACAAAGAGCTATTAAAGATCCAGATTTCATTATGGTCCAACTATGTTCTAACCTCAGTGAAAATTTTAAGATTTAGTGGAAGTTTTAAAATGTAGCTACATATAATCTTTTTTTCTGTGACAGTACAATCCTCTACTTCAGAATAAGCATTGAAGTAATCCAACACATATTTTCTAATCAGTTATTATTTAATGTCTGAGAATTCACAAATAATAGTATCTGTAAAATGGAAAAAAACTTTTTCACTTTCACATGCTTTTCACAGACTACAATATTAAATAAAATTATTTAAAGTCTTATAAAATGAAAAGCTAATATTGAATGTGTATCCTCTGCCTGGGAAGAATTTCTTTTGCATCCAATGAGAGTGAAACCCTTATAAAGCTTTTTTGCTTTTGTGCATTCATAAATGATTTCTCAAACAGCAGCAAGTAAGCCAGGTATGAATATACAGCAACACAATCCTGACAGGATCCAGAACCAACAAAGAAATTGCTGCTTTTGCAAGTCAGCATCTATATATTTATTCCCTAATAACTGTGGTAACTTCATGGAGACTATATGAGGAATACCAAATAATCCAACAAAGACAGTCATCAGAACCTGGAATATATACAATCTTTTTACATGGTAAGAGTAGCTAAAATGTACAATGATCTAAAATTATTTTATGAATAATCTTATTTATTCACCTGTGTTTTCCAGTTTTTCTTTTAGTTGCTTTAGGTGCTTCCATTTAAACAAGACCATTAAGGTGAACAGAGTGAGTATTAAAATCAACCCTATGCCCAAACAAATCCAAAGAATTCCACCTGAATCGGTACCTTATGAAATAAAAGAGATGCATTGCATTAATCATAAACAATAATTAATGTACAGTAAACATGTCCAGCACATCAAACTTAAATGTAAAATACAACAGGAAGATGCCTAGCACAGCCACAGAATACTGCAGAAATCTACTTACTCTTCTCACAGTAGTTTTCACACGAGGGCGGTGGTGCACTGGAACACCGGAGCTGACAAGGAGTACAAGAGAGCAGCAAATTATCAAAGTATTCATTTTTGGGACACTGTGCCATCTGGGGCAGTAATTATGGAACTACAAAGCCACAAAAATTGTAAAAGAACGAGGATCATCTACAAAAGGCTTCTCAGTTCTCAGTCTGAGCAACTCTAAAAACAGTTAGCAGTAATAATGGACTTCCATCACAGTTCCACTACATGGGATCATGTTACAGAAAAAGGATTTAACTCTGAGGTCCCCAAGGAATTTCTGTTCCTTTTTTGGCAATTCACAATTGTAGAAAAACTGAGCAGCTGCACCAAGATAGTTTTCAATGTAAATTTTGTCTGAAACAGAAAATGACTATTTATAGAAGACATTTCTGGAGCAGGTGCTAATTACTACAAACTGTAGAGAAGATCTCCAAACAGGAGTTCATGATAACTGTTCTTGTCTCTAAAACATTGGGGATATTTTTCATGGTGACTGCTTCTCAATTCCAAATTAGCCTAATTTATCATCTATTAGTATTTGGTTGGCATTTTTGCTTAGTTCATTTTGGGGGTTTTAGCTATTTTTTTTTTTTTTTGCTTATAACCATATTTCTATGAGAAATTTAATAAGATTACATTCTAATCATGAAAGAAGTGTTATATTAATATTTTACAATTTTGATTTAAAACATTATCTGCATTTTTCACTTATTTTTCTGTAATACAGAATTGTCATTGGGCTAAAACTGCAGTACCCAGCATGAAAAAATAAGTTTATAGGACATCTCCTTCCCAGACAGGTAGATGTATGTACAGTGAATGTAACATTACTGAAAATGTATTTGGTCTCCTTACAGGAAAAATAAAAAAGCTTTGACTACAGACTGTCCCAATGAAAACAGTTTACACAGCTAACTTGTATCTTCATGTTTTATTCCAATAGAATTTATTTTAAATACAAAGTTAACCAGTAGTTTCTAGCAAGTAGAAATAACTGCCTTTATCCAGTCTCACTGCCACAGACAGATCAGAATTACAGGCTGTCTCTCATTATCATACTTAAGTTAATTTCCTTTTTGACTACAGAAATGTAGAAGGAAAACATTGTATAAGAAGTTGTCATTTCATACCACATTCCTATGAGACTTATTTTCCCACAAAATGCACCATGTGGGAATACACAAACTGTTCTTAGTGGAGCAGTCTAACAGATCTGTATTCTAGTCTTTAGCAGATGGAAATACTCATTGTGGCTTCTGTGCTTGTTTCTATGGGCCAGGTGCACAGCTCAAGGCTTTCTATCACAGGCTTTTCTCCCTCTTCAATATTAGTGGATAAACAAGAATTGATGAAATCTGATTTAGCCTTTTCAGTCATGGAGAGGACAACCACATTCTCAACAATGATCTCAAGAAAGCAGATACTCATGAAAGTATCTGCATGATATCCACAGGTACAGTAAGTGAATTTCAGGACAGACAAGCTGGATCCAATTCTTTAAGCTTTTATCCACTGACTTCAGTGAAAGATCCCAGCCTTTGCTGCACTCCTGGATTACTTTTTAAGGGGTGCAACACCTTACATTTGTCTTTGTTGGACTTCATCATGCACTCCTGCACTACATGTTGCTGTGATGTATCCTACAACTGACATCTACTCAATATAATATTGGTACTATTCATAAAAACTGTAAAGAGACTTTATAAGAGAAACATTGTGATTACCTACTGGGGATGTGCAATGAAGTCCACCACAGAAATCCACATTTGGTGAACTAATGCACCAATGTCTTCATTTGAAAAGTCCTGTCAAACTTTAAGTACAGTAGAAATTAATTTATGCCTAATTATTTGAGATTGTATATATAGGATCATAAGATATTGAGGCAGAAATGCTTTCTCTCTGTTGGCCAGAAAGTTTTCCTATATGGCTGGTTAGAGTTCAAACATATTTCTCATAAGACAAAAAGTAAATACAAAGCAGTCTCATCTTTTCAGTCAAACTCTAGGAAACTCTCCCCCAAAGTCAAAGGCACAATACAGCTTATTTCATCAGAGCTCTGGAGAATGATGCTGTCTCTTACAGCAATAATTGTCCCTCAACAGTTGGACTACTATTTCCCAAAGCTTACAGCCTTTAAGGATAAACTAATTTCTTTGATGGATGTGTCCCAAACCACAGATCCTTGATATTTAAGCAATACATTTTTTACACACTGGAAACTGGGGAGCAATGACTGTAAAGGGTCTCTAATATGTCATTCCTTTAAGCAGCCACCATTCAAGTCCCAGCCTTTTCCCCTTGGCTATACACAGTGCCAGTGATGTATGTAATGACAAAACACAGGCAACAAATGGTTCAAAAAGCGATGAGGAACTACAGTTGTCATGGCCTGTTGCCTTTGTTTTCTGCACATCCTAACATTCAGAAGTTCCTCTCCTCAAGGGCATGAAAGCAAGCATGTAATCAATAAATCTTCATAAAGCAATAGTTCCCCCTGACAGACCTCGCTACACATCTAAAATACATGTTATTTCAAAATCTATGTCCAGGAGTAAGGAAGACATTTTCTAGCTTAACAAGGTTCTTGTGCAACCTTCATTTTTGAGTCATTTTGATAGAAGGGAGTTAATATTAAAAAACTCAAACAAACAACCCTTTAAGCACTTTTTTGGAAGACATGTACTATACCAATTGGCTTTAATACGAGATGTTTTATACCTGAATTGAGAAGTTGTTTATATAGTTAAATATTGAACTCAGCCAACAAATGAAAGAAAACACAGAAGCATTAAGAATAAGTTCATTAAGAGACATTAAGGAAAGGATATTGTTATGGGCACACCAAGTACTGAACATCCAGCCAGAGCATTTCCTGCCATGAACACCAATTTGACTGTTGGTTTTGTTAAGCATCTGGAGAAATCAAAGACTTCCAGAAATTCTTGTCCGTTCTTATTTGTAACATGTTAAATTGATATTATGTGACAGAAATCAGTCACCTGGACAAAGTAAGAAAAATTTTATCTTTCACTGTTTAATTTTAAAAAAGCCATTGAGAGTGTCTAAGCTAAAATAATAAAATGAAAACTCTGGATGGAAAATCAAAGTAAGTAATATCATCATGTCAATGATTAAAGATTAAAAATTAATTGTCACAGAACAATAACTTAAGGTCTATTTACCACACATAACTTAAACAGCAAAGTTGTGTTGTGGCCTTGCTTCAAGGTTTCTCTGTTCAAGCTCATGCCAGGTTTTTTGTCTGACTGTACTTCAGAAATTCTGCTGGCATAATTACATAGAACTTACCAAGAGAAAGAGGGTTTTCTGCTAGGACTATAACATTCCCTTCACAAACAACATTAGCCAGGCTGACAAAGGAATTCTTCTGGTTGTATAGTTGCTTCTACATTGATGGTTTTGTGCTGGCACAGCTCTTTTTATCCCACTCACTAAGGCAACTGACCTACACTGTCAAATCTTATAGTACAGGCTTGCTCTGATCCTCTCCAATTCTCTAAAGCTATTTACAGGGTAAATCACCCCCAAAAAGTCTCTTATAAATCACCTCACTTCAACAATCCTAAAAATCAGTAAGACCAATGTACATACCAAAACCCGCCACCTTTTCTTCTCAGAAGTTATTGCAATTCAAGGAACAGCAGTCTTACAGACAGTCATCTCCTAAAACATGACCTGTTACTTTCTCTAACAGTTCTGTAACAGTTATTTTCAGAAATCCATGTTTTGTGACATGCATGCTTTGACTATAGATGGGAAGAGATAAGCTGTTCTAGGAATGATGTCCTACACTGCTAGTAAATAAAAGAATGGAGCTATTAAAGGGTTCATCATGTTCATTAACTTTTACAAGCTGCACAGAACAATACCACTCTTAGACAAAATATTGTTTAATGTCATTTGCACACAGAGCAAAAACAAGAACAATGTGGATTTTGCCTCTTTGGTTCAACACATTTTAACTAGACCACAGCTTTGAAAAGAGTGATGTTACTGGTGCTACATCAAGTATTTCCAAAATGGATTAAAGAGCAAAACAACAGAAGAGAAAAATGTTCCTTTAAAATAGTGATTAAAATAACAATAGCATAAACACAGTCAATTAAATCACAGCCAGCTTCTGTATCCCCCACTGTGTTCAAAGCTGACTTAGCTAGGAACCGTCTTATGGAACAGAGGAAGTGCACAGCCCAGGAAAGCAGTGCTAATAGACTGCAAACCCTTGGGGGAAAGAGGATACCTTTTCATTTTTCTGACATTCCACATGTGCCAGAATTGTTATGTAACTGCTAAGGACAATGCATAAAACAGGAATTGTGCAAGCAAGTTTGGATTAAGCTGATGTTTGTTAGAATGCCAGTGACATTTTTCTGTTGGTAAAATAGTTTTTACAGAATGTAAACATAATTTATTTCTTAATGTAAGCACTTACATTTTGTGTTGGAAAAATAATCTCCTACATGCTTCTATTTTAGTGACTTTGCGGGTGGACGAAATAAACTAAAAATCATCAGTGGTATAATGCCAACAGGAGTAATGGAGTTACAACAAAAATAAATGTGCAGGAACAATTATGAATTATGTGAAGTGTTTGGCATGCACTGAAGTCTAACAAGAATTTTTGTTGTGGTAATTTTAGCCAAATTCTCTAGCTATTCAGAGGTTTGAGTAACACACATTCACTTTTTTAAAATTCTCATGTACAGCATCACAGTGCCAATGCATGCTCTCTCTCAAGACAGGAGGGAGATCGTAATTGATTTAGCCACCACTACTCCAGAATAATTCCCCATGCAAATCAGTGTCTCTGGAATAAGAATACTGTCACAGAATACTTCTAGAGTAATTAAACCTATTTAGAAACAAGCTCACTATTTCATTCTCACTGCTTCATAATGAAGTAATTATTTTCTGCAACAATGTTAACATGTTAACTAGCCATAGAAGAACTGCTTTAAAAATCCCATGACACTTATTCTTCCTTCACAACAATAATGCCATTCTGCTTTAGTCATTACTGAAACTAAAATCTTAAGGGATCTCTAATGGACAACATGCTCCCTCAACTGGAATTCCAGAGAATTAAGAAGGTGAAAAGAAAAATCCCACATGGAACCAGTTTTCTATTCCCCTCTCCCTTGAGACAAGACAGCATGTAAAACTTTCCATATAAAACTTAAGTGGTATAAAACTCTTACCATATTTATAAAGCGGGAGATCTGGCCTAGAGTTATGGTATCCAGCAGCAGACATGGCAGCTGGGAGCTCCTCCATGTCAGGGAGTCCCTGCAATCAGAAAAGGTGTGAATAAACAGTTATGTTAATGTTCAGCCACTCCTCATCACACTTGTGCTCCAGGCCCTTCCCCAGCTCTGTTCCCTTTCTCTGGACATGATCCTGTACCTCAATGTCCCTCTTGTCATGAGGGCCCAGAACTGGACACAGCACTCAAGGTGTGGCCTCAGCATTGGCAGTCACTGCACTGGTCCTGCTGGCCATGCTGCTCTTAGGAAGAAGCATGATTGATTTTCTAAACAAAACATTGCTTACCTAAAAAAAAGCATAAGAACAGGTAAACAGAGGTGTAGATTGTAATTCACAAGATTTCTTTTCAGCTGCTTCAGTATTTTGGTTGACATGATACCTCTTCTCACCAATCCTACTCCTGGCTTTCAGATCTCTGGAACCACACAGTCCCTGCCTTTCTTCAAAATAGATTCCCTCCTGTCTCTAACCTTTCTAGTCCTAACTCAGTCACTGTTTACATCATTTTAGTGATCTCATTCTTCCCTTCCTGGGATGCATGTTCTTTGCTCAGCACATTCCTTCCACATTAAGCAATCCCTCTGATATTTACAACATTTTAACTGCCATAAGGTTTATAAACTATGCACAGGTTCTTCACAATGTGCACGCCTAAATCCCCATCTTTGTTTCTTTTGAGCTTTGATAGCAAGATACCCACACACACAACAGTTTTGACAGAAAAACTACTTACCTAAACTACTCTCCCTCTCTTATTTTTCAGTCTGGAATCTCATGGTATCAAAACTACAGAAGAAATTCTGTCTAAGGAGGAACTGCACTGCCTGTGCATTCAGAGAGGCATCATGAGCAAAGATCCAATGAGAACCTACCTTACAGATCTCTGGGATCTTAACAGGGTAACTAAGGAATAGATCACACAGCTGAGAACTCTGAGCCTCCAGTTAGAGTCACATAAAAAAAGGATGGCACTTGCGAAAAAGACCTTTCACTCTTTATTTTTAGAGATACACAATCAAGGGGAATAAAGCTTGTGTATATGCACAGAAGTGAGAGAAACTCATGACTATTTTTAAAAATAATGAGCTGAGCATGTGTGGTATTTGAAAGCTGAGAACATGGACACAGAGAATTATAAACTGGCATTTTGGTGTAGCAATCCATGTATTTCTTTTGATATCTCAAGCAAAACAAATTAATTTTATGCCCTTTTTGAAGCCTGCAGTATGTGTTTAATTGCTCCAAAGGGAGTGATTAAGAAAGGCTTTAATTCTAGATTAGAGCCATCAAAAAGAAGAATCCAGCTCCAAAGTACTCATTGTCAACCTACGATGAAATGTGAGACAGGTTCTAAATTCCTTTGCAGATGTGGAGTAATTCTATGATTGGACTGTGAAATAGAGCTTATGCTCTGGTGCTACATTTGGAAACCAAAGAAGACTTTTATTTGAAATTCTTCCAATGAAACAGCTTCAAATACATTTCTATGAGGGAATTCATGGACTGCAATTCTGCCAATGTCAAGCACAGGGAGAGGAACAGGCCAGAAACAGCATTTGTTAAATAACAAGTGTTGGAAGAAGAAGTCAGTAAAAGGATGTTTCTAGGGCAAGATATCTTAGTTTGGACTAGACATGGTCTTCTGTAAATATAAAAGCCTCTTTATTCACTTATACTTCCAGGAGCACCAGTAAAGCTTAGGAGAATCTTGGTTCTTAATGAAGCCATCACGCTAAAACATAGCTGTGTTTTCTATTCTCTAGTTTTCAGCTAAATCTCCACAGACTACCTGGAAAGAGAATTTGCCAGGGTTTAAGAATATTAATTTATAAATTCCTGGCACCTAGTTAAACTTCCAATAATTTACCTCTTACCCCCTGTCTTTTCTTTTTCTTAATAACTTGCTCCTTTGGCTTTGTTTGTAATGGCTCTTTCTGACTTCAAAGCAATTCTAAATATCAGGCTACTCATTTAGGTGCATAACTACTGTACATACTTGAATACCTTTAAGTTTCAGGTCATGGCTCACAGTGCGTCACTCAAATCCCAGCGTGCTGCCACACCAGAAAGGGAAGCTGTATTCCTTTCCTGCTCCTCCCAGTCTCAGCCAAAATGTTTCTTTCCCATGTTGCAGTAGCTGGGGAAGTTACTTGATGTCAAGGTAAACTGAATCAATTCTATGGTAACTCAGCACCCTAAAACAACTCTTCCCATTTTAAGGCTGTTGGTAGTTTATGGAATTTTAAAAACTTACCTGTTGGTGGTGAGCAAGTAACTTCTTGAAGCTGTTAACCTGTTTGGAGCCTCCTAGTAAAATACATCTTTCTCTTCTTCCTCAGCTCATGTGGCTAAAGCATTGGTATTTCATAGGTGTCCCTGCCAGGCTGCAAAGTGCTTGTGGGAGCTTGGATGGAAGTTATTACCAAAGTATGGACCTCTATTCCTAATGTCATATGAACAGAGCCCTCCATTTCACTGCTACAGGACTGACTCACCACAGGCTGCAAATGAGTGGTGAAGCTGCCTTGGGATAGTCTATTGCATTAATACTTTGCTGTCACCAAAAAATAACACCTGTTCCCCATTCTTACTTTACACCAGCCCTGGCATTTGTCAAATGCCTCTTATTTGATTCATCCAAGTAGCCCAGGAGGAAAGAGAAAGTGGATTGTTCTGTCACTAAATTTAATGAGCTGGACAGACTCAGCAGAGGGTCTAACAGCTCAGAGGCAGCTGGGCCAGACTCTTCTTTTATAGACAGTTTTGATCACTTAAGTCAGTCATGACATGAGGATGGATTTATTTGGGTGGTTCTCAATAAATTTTAGTATTTATTAAATGAAGAGCTGGTATATTTATTCTAAACATTTTGAAGCAGAAGAAATCAAAACAATAAAAGTTTTTATAATGGTTTAAAACCTCAAGCAAACAGAACCATTTATACTCCAGCAGATATTTTTCCAGTAAAACTATCATAATTCCACTTTTTGTTTTGAGTACCAGCTGTTCCAAAGTGGAAAAACAAACTACTAGCCCTGTTAAAAATTTAGTGTTTGAGTTTACACAATTCCTATGTGTGACAGCCTGCAAAACAGGTTTGTACACTCTGAAGGGCATCTGGCATCTTCTGAAATTCTGTGGACTAATTCTTTATATCCTAGCAAGTACCTAGGGAATAAATACCTGTCAAGGAAGGAAGACAGCTTGTGAAATACAACTAATTCTTTTCCCCTGAAATCAGTGGTAAAATGCACTTCTGCACCTCTGATCAAATGCATATTTGGCCCTACTCCACTCACACAGACACACACACACAAATTTCTCACAACTTAGTGCTTCAGGAGCCATCAGAAGGAAGCTCCGTCTCAAAAACCTTAAAGAAGAATGCCAAAATGTGTACAAGAATTGCTGTCTCTCTGTTCTGTGTGCTGATCATCTTAAAGTATGTCTTAATTGCTCTGAAAAGGCAGCACCTGCCTCCAGTTAAGGCTTTCCTGTCCTGTAGGCTGTGTCAGAGCTCAAACAAAACACAAGCTTGCACTGCAGCGTTGCACTCATTATAAACCTGAGCTGTTAAATGCTCATCGTGACAGTAAATGTGTTCAGTAACAAGTCACTCTGTCAGCAGAATTGCATCCAGCTTGCTCTCCACTGGAGTTTTATGTATTATTCAACGCTAGTAACCCCTGAGCGCTGAAATGGTGCTACCTTGTTTCCATACTATATGAAATGTATCAGACATCTCCTGTTAATAAATGTCACCTAACAAGCAAAGGTTAGAACTAAAAGAAAACAAACCAAAGCAATGCACTGCATAGTACTTTTCTTTTTGTTAAACAGAAACATGCCATGCACAGCTGGGACTTACTTTTAGTTTGACAAAATTCCAAATATTACAAGAGAAGCACGGGTGAGACTTTTCCTTAATTATATGAAATTCAAAAAATAGAGACTGACAATGTCTGAAAACTGCAAAATAACTATGTGCCAGACAATTACCAGAGAGTGGTTTTCACAAGATCTTAAAACTCATTCTTTAGGCTCTGGTGAAGGTAAGCTCTTGGTGGTGCTTGAAGGAAAGGCTACCACTTAGCAGAGATTTTTAGTCTCTCATAAGTTTCATTATAAGTGATACTTTTTCTTCCAAATTTTTTTCTATTATGTTACTGGGTATTCTTTTGTTTTTACTTTTATAAGTACTACCCTGTACACTAATGTTTTCCCTGGATATGATGAGTTGGAAGCCCATATTTCCATTAACACATGTAGAAGTTTTTGTCCATGGCTCACATGTTGCTGCTGATGTGCAGCCAGAAACCCTCTGGTTCTCAAGTCAGGATTATGTTACACAAATGCCCCTTCAGGAAAGCTTCGGTTCCCCAGCCAAAACTATCCTGGATTCTGTACCAAACAGAGATCTTTCTTTTTTAGTTCTAAGACTACCTGCTTTCAAAACAGCTCTGTAACCTGTCCTACAGTGTTCTAATATGAACAATGCTGTAGATTACTTGGTCCTTGCACGTCAGCACTCCAAGAAACTCCCAAGCATTTAGTGCCACAGCCTCATGCAGTCCCATAACCAAAACCTGCTTTCCTCTCTGTTACGTGATGTTTTCTCTAAATATACTTCAAACAATGTTTTTTGGGTTTGTTTGTTGAGGTTTTGTTTTAAAAACTTCTAAGAGTTGTACCAGTGGAGGGTGGGCCTCAGTATTTGGAAAGTCCTACTAACTCTGGCTTAACTGGATGGGCTTTTTTCTATGGTAACAAGCAAGTCAAAGTATCCTGTAGAATTACCAATACTGGAACTTTCCATGCATCCTGTCCACTTCTGGCTGGACAGGTACAGCCCTCTGGCATCCCATAGGAGGGCGTGTGCTCCCACAGCTTCCCCGGGAGCTCTGCTGCCACCTCTGCCTTGTCCCTCTGCACCTCTGCTCTCCAGGACGGGTTCGCTGTGATTAAGCACCGCTGGGCACTGACCCGAGCGGTTCCGGTCCCGCCTGAGGCGTTCGCGCCAACTCCGTGTCCCGCATCCCCCTAGAAAAAGGGGCGGGGCCGGCAGGGACGCACGGCGCGCGCGGGCGCCGCCGGGAGTTGCAGTTCCTGAGCGCGCAAGGAACGCAGGCAACTCCATTTCCCGTCTGTCCTCGGGAGGCGGGCCGCGGGTGCGTGCGCGGGGTATGACGGGTATTGTAGTTCTTGCACCGCGCCTCGGACGTGCAAAGGAAGGAATGCGGGGGGAGATAAAAACTACTACGATGGCGGTAGGAGAGGCTGCCGGGAGACGGTACGGCAGCCCGAGAGGCCACACTGAGCTCGCGTCGGGGCGGCGGAGCACACGCGGAATCGGCGGAGCGAGTGCTGAGTCGGTGCCGCCGCCGGCTCCCCCTTCACCCGGGAGACGCTTCGGGGCCGCGGAGCCTTGTGGGGCCGCAACAAAATGGAGGCGAACGGGAGCGGCAGCGGGAGCAGTAGCGACTCGGCTCCCGACTGCTGGGACCAGGCGGACATCGAGCCGGGCAGCGGCGCCGGCCCGGGCTGCGCCCCGCCAGCCGCGGAGGCCGAGGCGCAGCAGGAGCTGCTCGGGGCGGCCTTCAGCCGGCAGCTGAACGTCAACGCCAAGCCCTTCGTGCCCAACGTCCACGCCGCCGAGTTCGTGCCGTCCTTCCTGCGGGGCGGCCCGGCGCCCGGCCTGCCGCCGCCCTCGCCCCCGCCCGGCCTCCCGCCGCCGCCGCCGCTCGGTAACCGCGGGGCCAGCACCGCGGAGGGCGAGGGAGGCAGGGAGGGATGGGGGCCATGTTGGGAGGGCGCGGGGCGAGGGTGCCGGGCCCGCGGCGGCCGGGAAAGGGCCACGCGGGGCGGGCGAAGAGCCGGGTCGGACTGGGGGGCGGCCCGGGGGTCAGGGGCGTGGGGGGCACGGCCCGGAGCGGGAGCAGGGTCCGAACCGCCGGAGGGTCTCCCCGGCGGGAGGGGCACGGCCGGGG